GATTCTGGACGATTCCCGTCCACGAATCGGACCACCACAAACTTGCTTTCTCCTTCGCCAACCGGCAGTACACCTTCACCCGGTGTCCTTTTGGTTATTCCAACTCGCCAGCTGAGTTCAACATCTTCTTGAACAAGGCCTGCCCCGATGCATGAGAGCGTGGGACACTCATCTATGTCGACGACATTCTTATTCGTCGGCGTACGTTGGATGACCACCTGGCCGAGCTGGACCATGTCATGGGTCAGCTCGCGGCGGCGGGTGCTAAGATCTCTCTCGCCAAGGGACAGTGGTGCAGGTCGCAAGTTCAGTACGTTGGCCTACTTGTGGGACCACAGGGAGTGCAGCCTCAGCTTGGCAGGATTCAGGGTGTTGCCACCATCACACCTCCGACGAACGTCTCCGAACTTCGCAGCTTCTTGGGGGTCTGCAACTACTCGCGTCAGTTCGTGGAACATTACGCTGAGTTGGCACGACCTCTGACTAATCTGTTGAAGAAGGATGTGGCGTTCGAGTGGGCGGAGCAGCACCAGCAGGCCATGGATGACCTGAAGGCCGCCATGTGCTCGGCTCCGTACTTTATTTGTGATTAAAATTATTAAGCAAAACAGATGTTGATCAACAATAATCAAGTGAATGATCTGTGAAATAAATATGTCATGAATTATGTTTAATGAAACCAGGACTACGGTGCAGACATACTGATCCTCATCTCCATAGAAACACATGACACATTGTTCCAACCAATCAGAGCTTTCGGCTGCCGCAGGAGAATCTGGTGTTGACTTCAAGTGTCCAATCTACTTTACTGAAACTTATCAACAATTCAGAGATATAAAACAAGGCAACGCCATTTTAAGTCAGTTCCATTTTGAGGTTGGTTTCTCAGCTCACTGTTTGAGTGCTGGTCTCTACCAGATTCATGACTGCGACAGGCGTGTCGTGGCCTATGCTAGTAAGCTCTTGACTGGACCTGAGTTGAAATACTCGGACTGTGAAAAGGCTTTGCTTTCCACCATGTGGGCAGTTAAGTACTTTGCGAACTACATTGGCGGACAGAAAATCATCATTGAGACACAGCACCAGCCGGTGACCTTCCTTAACAATCAGCGCATCAGGGATGGTGTGGTGACCAATTCACGAATCGCTTCGTGGCTGCTGGCTCTTCAAAGTTTCGACATCGAGGTGCGCTACGCCCAGAACCGACGTAGCCCTCTTGGCATGGGTTTGGCTGCGTGCCAACATTGCTCGGACGACGCCATCGCGTCAGTCCCGCCAGCCAGGCCCCCTCAGGCTCTTCTAAACCGCAACCACCACTACTACGACCAGTCGTACTGTGCGGGTTTACCGACCGTATACGTGGATGGCAGTGCTTTTCGGCACGGTTCTGCGCCTAGTGCGGGCGTGGGTGTCGTCTGGGTAGACGGTGACCGCAGGGAGTCCCGATGTTACTCTCTGGGTGAGAAGACCTCACAGTATGCTGAAGTAGCGGGGATCGTGATAGCGCTACGTAGCGCTAGGGACCATGGCTTCCGTGAACTGGTGGTTTGCACTGACTCGGACTACGCGCGTCTCAGTTTCTTGTGTCACCTACCAACGTGGAAGAGTAACGGGTTCCAGACCGCTAGCCGGAAGCCCATCAAAAATCAGGCCCTCTTCAGGGCGTGTGGCATTCTGGTGACTGCACTTGACATGCATATTTACTGGCGTAAAGTCAAAGGTCGCTCTCGCGCACCCGGTCCTGAAAAGGAGTTGAACGATCTTGCAGACTCTTTGGCCAAACAGGGCGCGACCGATGGTCCCCTGTGGGTTTTCGAACCCGGGTGGCTTGATGGACATGTGTGGTCTTTCCCTGATGAAAACCAGGTGTGTGTAGTTACTCGAGCTCGGGCTGCTAAAGCGTCCGACTCGGCACCACCCAAAGGTGCGGTGGCCGTTCAACCTGCCTATTCGGATACCGATCTTGTCAGTCTTCAATCCCGGGACCCTGCTGTCAGCAGGATGATCAAGTACATTTCTGATCCTAAAACCCAGCTACCGACTTCCGTCGAGCTTGATTCCGTTCCAGAGCTTCGCTCTCTCTTTCGTGTGCGGTCCACGCTGAGGGTCGTCGAAGGGCTGCTGATGCACGCCGCCAAGCCTCCTTCGCCGCCTGTTCTTGTTACTCCAAAACCGCTGAGGAGGGACATGATCTCGCAGGCTCATGACTCTCCATCCGCCGGTCACAAAGGCGTCAAGGCCACGTTCGGTGCCCTGTGCCAGGTTGCTTATTGGCTGGGGATGCGTCGTGATATCTCGGACCACGTCGAGCGTTGCTTGGTTTGTTGTCAGTTTCAGCCGTCCAACCCTACGCACAGAGCTCCCCTACAAGAAAAAGGGCCGACCACTCCGTGGTCGGACTTGCAATTCGATTGGGTGGGGCCTCTGACCAAATCCACCAGGGGGAGTAAGTACATACTGACTGTCACCTGCGCATTCACCAAATGGGTTGAATGTTTGCCGGCTCCTGATGACACGGCTAAGACTACAGCGGTCCTCTTGCTGAATCACGTTTTTGCCCGCTTCGGTTTGCCCATGAGGGTCGACTCGGACAGGGGTACCCATTTCACCTCTGACGTGATGAAACATCTTTGGGAATTGTTGGGTGTCAAGGCTAAGTTCCACATTAGCCACCGGCCCCAGTCCTCTGGACAGGTCGAAAGGGTGAACCGCACGGTTATCAGCATGTTAAAAAAGTACGTGAAAGCTAACCACCGAGATTGGGATGTGAAACTTCCGTTGGTCCTCATGGCCATACGCGCTACCCCTCACGAGTCTACAGGTGTCTCCCCGTTTAAAATGATGACGGGTAGGCAGATGACCCTACCGCTTCACCTGCTGTATCAATGACGGGTTCCGTCCGACACAGCCCCGGCGTGTACGAGCGGCCAATACTTGCAGGACCTGAGAGATCACCTGCTTGCAGCATTCTCGTTCGCACAGGCATCTCTGGAAAAGTCAGCTGAAGGCAGAAAAACTTATTACGATAAGAAAGCCTCACATTTCGAACTCGATGTAGGTGACCAGGCCTGGTACTACATTTTCGCTCCCAAAACGGGTAACAACAATGCGACCTCGGGGAAGCTGGCTAAGAAACTTTTGCCCAGATGGTCGGGTCCATACCTGGTTACAGATAAGATCTCTCCGGTCGTGTATCAGATCAAGATCGCCGACAAAAACAAGGCGCCCGTCTACAAATGGGTACACAGGGACCATATCAAACTGCACAAGGGTCCCACAGATTTGGCTGATACCAACAACAACAATCCACCGACTTCAAAAGGGGGGTGATAAATACGTCCCATGGGTTCCACAGATTTCTATCTCTGCTTACACAAATTTGTTTGTTTGTGAGTGTACATGGTTGTCTTTCCTGTTATACGTCACGTGCAGACTTAAGGTGTGTTGAGATGGACGATCTGTGGGCTCCTGGAGTCAGGTGAAAGGCCAGGTAACAGTGAGTGGGTTAGGTCACATAGTACTGTTGTCCAAAATTTTGTTTTTTTTTTATCTTTACTAATCACAATTCCTTAGGGGTACATTAACATGAACATGATTACTAACCACTGATTTACATTTTAGAGCTGATTTACATTTCTGTTTTTTATAGTACCTTTGACCAGTTGATTTTAACAGTGAAAATTATGTTTGTGATCATCAATTCTTTGATTTATCCTGCGGGGCTACAACCAATTTTGCCCCTGTCCTGACACAAGTATTTACAGTGAGGATTCACTGATACCAGTTAGGGTTACTTTCACTTTTCTGCTTCTCGCATCATCCCTTTTTGCATCTTACACAGTCAGGGTTGCATCCATTTCTTCGCTTAATGGGTAATTACACTTAAAACTAACACATAGTACAAAAGGCACTCATAGAGTTAGGTTTTTATTATTTTTTTTATTTCTTTGATGACATGAAATGCACTTTTGTCGTGTCTACATTGAAGTGCCTACACTGTGCTCTCTATCCTCTGCTGAGCTTGTGAGAATCCTGCGTCCTGGGGGTGGATCCGTGACTCGTCATCTGCATCGACTACTCCTGGGTGGTGCTCCGGCTCGTTGGCCTTGGACGACTGTGGTTCCGGCATGGCTGCTGGGACACCTCATTCGTTGGGATTACTGTCACCTGCTCTTCCCTTTTTGTGGATTACGATAAGTACTCTTTCAACGTTCAATTTTCATTTGGAATATTACCCTGCCTGCAGATACAACAATCGATTTTTAATTGGAATACTACCCTGTTCGTGGATACGTTCAAGATTTGCTCCTGCTTTGCTTTATTGCCCGTGAGGATATGACGTTGCTGTTGCTTCGTTTATGACTTCCATGGGGAATAATTAATAACCTGCTGACTTGTGTTCTTCCTGAGGAGTGTGCGAGACTGTTCTCCGGCGTGGGGTTCGTGCCTCACCACAGACGGCCGTTCCCTTGGGATCGCATCCGGTTCTGTTGTCGAGATTCTTCATAACTTGGGTTTGTTCAACGACCAAGTGGTCTCTTGAAGGACCACATTGACCTTGAAAAGGGGGGATATGTAATGTTATGAAGTTCATGGTTTTCAACTCCATACAGCTGGCCCCTGGGCACAATAACACCGTGTAGAAAAACCAAGGTCGGGTTGTTCCTCAGACTGTTTACATTCCAGGAGAAGAGTCCGAAGGAGAAGAAGAAGCTTTACTTAATCAAAGTACTTTATTTGTGATTAAAATTATTAAGCAAAAACAGATGTTGATCGACAATTATCAAGTGAATGATCTGTGAAATAAATATGTCATGAATTATTTTTAATGAAACCAGGACTACGGTGCAGACATACTGATCCTCATCTCCATAGAAACGCATGACACATTGTTCCAACCAATCAGAGCTTTCGGCTGCCGCAGGAGAATCTGGTGTTGACTTCAAGTGTCCAATCTACTTTACTGAAACTTATCAACAATTCAGAGATATAAAACAAGGCAACGCCATTTTAAGTTAGTTCCATTTTGACTTCAGTTCTATTCACCATCATCCTAAAGACAAGCGCAGCCTGGCCGGATGTGATTTCTTTAAACTAAGAACTGTGAAACGGGAGATTTTCGTCGTTTAACAACCAGACGACGTCCTTTCAAAATAAGAGCACCTGCTGACGCCGCTGAACGGTACCGGGTCGACCCTCCAGACGGGCTTTGAAACGTTGTGATCGCTGCACCGACAGCTCCACCGTACATCCGAGGTTTCCAGACCTGGCATTTCCTGATCTACCTGGGAGACCCCACTGGGTACGTACACGGCAAAATAGCGGCTCATGTCATCACTTTATAAGCCTCGTAATATCTAGTCATAACAAAGACGACCAGATTCGATTACGTCATCCTAGAGAATCTGAACCAGACACACACACACACCAACACAACATCCGAATCCATTCTCATCCATCACAGAGTAGTCCTGGTAGATTGTTTAGAATTTATAATTCAGAAATTAAAGATTTTCAAACGATCCCATATCTCTCTCTTTTCTTGTCTCAAAGTCAATACAGAGCTGGGACGTAATTTTTGGGGGGGACGGGTGGGACATGTCCCCCCCACTTTTTCAAAAGGCAGTTTTGGTCCCCTGCACTTTTTTCCGTCCAAAAACAATGTTACGCTCCATTAAATGGATTTGGTTGAGCACTAGGACCGAAACGGAAACCGGTTTACTATTAGACCCGCCCAAAAGCTAATCTATTGGCTCTGCTGATACTTGCTAACGTATTATTGGCTGTTGCTGCTGTCACTCAAGTTGGAAACAGTCAGAAAGTGCTCACGTTGTTTTGCTAGTTTGGAGCCGCTAGGGAACACCGGTACTGAGTCACATCGTCAACTAGACGCTGTGTAATATCAGAGCTCAGCTCAGCTTCCATTACATAACATTTGAATAAGTGTTCATTTGTGAGTCTTTGGTAGTTAGGCACAGCCAGGAGGCAGCATGTCAAGAAAACGAAAAGTGGATATAAGAGACGTCTTTCAAAGTCAAAACGTAAGTTGGACATGTGACACCCCTGCATTAAGCTCAGACTCACCTCCTCCTTCACACACATACTCAAAACTAACTTTTACAAACTCATCTCCTCCACATAACTGACTCCTCAGACACAATTTGTTCGTATTATTATAATAATTATTTTTTTATTATTACTATTATCATCATAATTATTATTACTAGTAGTAGTAGAAGTGTAACTTCAAAACTTTTATCATTTAACTTTATTGTAAACTTATCTATTGCAATGTATATTTTCACATTAAAAAGCTCTGAAAAATGAACAGTATCATCATCGTCAACAGATTTTTTTAAGCTTAATGTCAAAGATGTACACTTTTCATTAGATTTATCTTATTTTTTCCATTTATTTTTTGTGTGTTGAAATGCAACAACTGTTTAAACACTTTTAAGGGAAAAAACATATTTAATATGTTTTTATACACTCAAATGTTAGGGTGATGATCATGTGTAAAACATTAGTTCAGCATGTCCTCTAACACAGCAAATGAACAAACGGCCAGATCTCAGGAGGGACCGTTTATGTATAAATAATTTTTATACTTTTGACTAGGCCTGGGAATGTAACAAATTTTGCTGGACGATATTTTGTCCAACAAATTGTTGATGATAAACGATACTGTCAACATTATCTAGACCAAAATAACCACTAATATAATGTTAATATATCATAATAATGCAAGTACACCCTTTAAAATGCAACAAATAAACCTTCATTTAACATTGAAATGTCCAGAACCAGAACTTCTAAATGAATAAAAATAACAAACAAAAATTGAATAAAAAAGGAATCTCACTCCCTGTTAGAAAATGTTGCACCAAAAACAATAAAAAAAGACCCAAAACAATAAATACAATGGCCTATCCATTGTCAACAGCCAAAACTGCACTTCAATAATGATAATAAATAAAAATAATAATAGAGTTGTACATTTTTTAACTTTGATATATATATAGAGGATGGAAAAATTATTGAGATGGGCACGTGACGTGTCAAGGGGTCTTTACATAACACCCCCCACCCCAAATCCGCACAAGCCTGCTGTGTCCCCCCCACTTCTGATATCAAAATTTCGTCCCTGATACAGAGTGTTTAATTAAACTCCCTGATGATAAAAACAGCCTATTCTTCTGTTTATAAAAAGTGAACTACTAACAGTGTATTAAAATACAACTTTAGATAGTTACTCACTTTATTTCCGTTACAATACAAACTAAAGCAACTCAGGCTTTCAGCTCTTGAGGAGCTTTTTTTTAGAAGCAGTTTCTGCAAATTAAGGCAATAGATCAGCTTTAGGCAAAGCTGAAACTGTACAGGAATCTCCTTTCATCATCAAGCATTAACCCTATTGAGTGGTAGTGGAATATGAAGGCCAGTTTACCAATACGCTATAGGGTACTCAATTCAATTCTGGTCCTTGGGGGGCTGGTATCCAGCATGTTTTAGCGGTTTCTCTGCTTATTTCAGTAGTTGAATCATCTGTGAAGCAGCTCATTAGGCTCTACTGAAGCCTATGAATCACCTGCTAATTGGAATCAGGCCTGTTGAAAAAGTTAAAATTAAAATGTGCAAGATACCAGGATTGAACACCCCTGCTCTAGTTTGGCCAAAAGGTACCACTGTGTTCAAGCATCCTCAAGATCAGTTGAGCTCACTTTTTTTTTTTTATTCCAAGGAAACAATCAGTCGAGAAAGAGCCTGGCTGCTGCCATAAAATGGAGACACGCTAATTTTTCCTGAAGAAAAACTGCTAGGACTCATGTTTATATAGTGTACATATTTATTTTACTCAGTTTTTTGCCTCTTTTTTAAGCAGTGTTTTTATTTGTTTATTGATTTGGTATCCAAACGTTTTTTTTATTTTAGTTAAGAGTAGACGTTTCTGTATTTTACACCAAAGAAAAAATGTCCCCACTTTATCTTTGTACTGTTAAGTTTTATTTAGCATGAAAATGTAAATACTGCCTTTTTACTTATTTACAAATATTGAAATACTATGCCTTTACAGTTTGCACTAAAAGTTTGCTGTGTTTTTGTTTGGTTTAATTAAAAAAACTTTCATTACTTAAAAAATTATACATATACCAGGTATATTTGAAGTTGTGGTATCGAAAAATATTTACCCAGCCCCAGTTATGCGCAGCTATCACAGTAACACAAAGGAACAACATTAAAAGATAAAGGAATATAGATAGTACATTGTAAACCCTCACTTATACTTAAAACTGTACAAAAGTGCCAACATCAATCTACACTATGGTTAGATGGGAGAATTTTAATCGTTTATAAATCTTTTTCATTTTTAGACCGTAAATGAATGGATTAAGCCAAGGGTGGTAAACCAGTAGTTGCAGCGTCATTACAAACTGAACAGTTTCAGAAAGGTCAGACTCCACACGAGCTATAATTATACCATATATAGCTAAATAAGAAAAAATGATTAAAACCAACAAGTGGGGTATGCAGGTCTCAGCAGCCTTTCTCCTGAAAGCTTTCCCTTTTTCAAATGATATTATTAATATCTTGGTATACGTAAAAATTGTGAAAAGAATTGGAAGTATTACAACATAAACTAAAGAAACAAGCCCCATTATAGTAATTAGTCTTGATTTGACACACTGAAGTGGGAAAATAGAATTATTACAAAATATTCCTTTTAAATTGAAGCTGCATAATTTAGCTTTAGCACTCCAAAAGGTCTCAGCTCCAAGGTGAATAAAAGGTATAATCCAAGAAAGAATCAGAAAGGAAGTGACAGTGGCCTTAGTCATGATAGCTTGGTATCTCAGAGGATTACATATGGACACATATCTATCAAAAGCCATGGCTGCCAACAGTAAGAATTCTGTAGCACCTACAGAATAAAATGTAAAAAACTGAAAGAGACAGGCAGAATATGATATGATCTGTTTTTCAGATAAGAAGTCTATCAGGAGTTTTGGGTAAACTGTAGTGCTGTACAGAACACAGTTAAATAACAAAGCAGCAATAAAAATGTACATGGGCTCATGGAGGTCCTTGTCTGTCCAGATAATATACACAATAGTAGAATTACTACAGATTATTAAAACATATACAATAAACAAAACAGTAAAATACAAATACCTGTATTTGTTCATTTCTACATACCCACTTAGGGTTATGTAGGCAATGTTAGACTCATTATCCATATGTTTTCAAACTACTGAAACTGTTCACTCAATAAATTACAATTATTCCTGAGTAATACACAATTATAATTCTAGATTTAAAGATGCAGTTCATACAATCCTGTCTGCTAATACTTCAACCTGAACTGCTGGAGTCTCTGTCAGGGTTTTATTAGATGTGTTGCCTCTCTTAAGATCGGATCTCTTGAGAACCACACCACTGCTTCTTCTACTCAAGCAAAATGAAGTTGCAATAAACAAAAATAAATTGGAGTCAGGGTTAATCTCCACACAGATTAGAAAGTGAGTTTTTTTCTACTCCTGTATATAAAGGTAAGAAAAAATAAGAATGGCATAAAGACCAGAAACGTTTAAGGACTGGTTCAGCAAGTTTAGTGTGAAATTGTTCAAAATGGCAAAAGTTGCTTTTTACCTCTGTAATGAGTGTTAATTACATTTAATTGAGGACCATAAGACATTAAAAATTCGTATCGAGTATGAATTCCATCTTATGGACACTGGGCTATTTAAATCAGAAGATCTGATCTTTTTATTGCAGGGATTTAGATGACACTTTGTATTAACTGAGAGAGAAGAGAGAGAGACCTTCAAACGTTTAAGGAAATGTATTACTAAAGAATTTTAAACAATTTAACAAGACTAACTCTCTAATGATGGATGCTCTTTTTGAATGAAGTGTTAGATGGTTGGTGTGTGTGTGAATGAGTGTCAATCAGAACCCTCGCATCCGGAGAAACAAAGTCTGACTGGGAGATGATGTTTTGCTCCTAACTTTTCAGAGTTTGAGACTCGTAGTCATAAACACATGAGACGCCATTTATGTCACATCCACATACCCTCAGTGAGACCTCCATGATGGATCCAGAATGCCAGGCCCTCTGACCTTCCTTCCGGTACTGGAGCCAATGGTACAGCGTCACAGCACAACAAACTAGTCCTTGGATTGTCTCCAGGTAAAAAGCGACAGGTGGTTCACAGCGTCAAAAAGGGGACCCTCCTTGGGTCAGCGAGTTCAGCTTTTATTCTGAAAGGAACCGTTGCTTGGTTGGTAACAAAACAACGGAATTTTCCCAGCTTGAATGGTTCTCAGCTTAAATACAGAAGTACAGATGGCCCGTGCAATACTTCACTTAACATGCGGTGAACTTCATAGGATCTTGAGAACGAGATCTTGATGTCATGACTCGAGGGAGATGTTTAACCTAAGACATGCAGAATCAACACGACTTCACTGGGTAAGTTAAAGAAAAGTTCTTTTTTTTCAAAACAGGAACAAAAAGTGCACTGGTAAGTCCAGTGAGGGTGTGCCGTACGGCGTTAGTCCATATGGTAGTCCAAGATGTGCGGGAAAGGTGAGAAGCCAAGGTGAGTGTTGGTGGAGGCTCAACGGGCTGAGGCGAGTGAGGCAGTGGAGATAATCTGGGCAGGTGTAGTAGAGGAGGATGGGACGTGGTTCTGGTAATCCGGGGTTCAAGCGGCGAGAGTTGTGTGTAGAGTGGAGAATCCTGAATGGAATAAACAAACAAGGTTCAGAGGAGAATCCAGAAAGAGTAATTCAGAAACAGTCCGTGGTTCAAAGCCAAAAAATCCATCAATCAATCCATCAATTTCAAGCGAGATAAACGAGCAAATGAGCAAACGAAGACAAGAGGCTGGGGCTACCTAAACAGGTGCAATCATCCGGCGTAGTGTGGTTCTCCATCCTCCCTTTATACCCGACCTCCTGATTGGAGATTCGGCACACCTGCTGCTCCCTCCGCTCCTCACCTGTGGAAAATTGCCTCAGAGATGGTTAGCGAGGGAGGAGCACTCACCTTGGCTAAGGAACATGACACTTGAGAACTGAACTTAAGATGGCGTTGGAACTGTTTTATTAATCTGGATGTTTTTGATTCTGGACAAATCAAAGCCGACAGATTTATAAACACCACAGAGACTCTGCCACGCTTCAGACTAGGAAGGTTCTGATTGGATCAGTACAGCAATGTGTCATGTGATTGTTTTCCTTACGTGTGTCAGTGTGTCTAGTGAACTAGAATAAGTAATCTTAGGTGTGATGTTGCTGTGTTGTATTTCTAATTCCATGCTGTAGTTCTTTTTTTAAAACACAGAACAGTTTTGTTACCTGTTTTCCCGCTACGTTTCGTTTGCGGCTGCAAACTTTCTCAGGCTGACGCTGATGGTGGCGTCACTTCCTTCTCCGTTTATCCGCGGGCAGCACAGGACGTTGTCGCCCTCTGCTGCCCGCTCTTCCCTCTCCGACGATGCAGTCCCATGCGCGGTCCAACGTGTAAACTCCATCGTCCCTGTTCATGGTCCCACATCCACGTCTCCTTATCTCGATTGCTTCTTTTACCCATCTTTTGTATTTTTGTTGTTCGGTTTTTATGATCTTTGTGTTGTCCCAGTCCATTATATGGTTTTCTCTTATGCAGTGATCTGTTACGGCTGACTCCTTTATTGTACTTTCTGCTTCTTCTTTTGCTGCTCTTGTGTGTTTTCGACTTGCCTCTTTCTCGCACTCCTTTCTATGTTCTATTGTTCTTGTCTTGAGTTGGCCTCCGGTTTCTCCTATGTATGTTTTATTGCAGAGTTTGCATGGGATTTTGTAAATGACTCCACATTTAAGTCCAGCTGATATTTTGTCTTTTGGGTGCACTAGTCTGTTTTTAACAGTTGTGTATGGTTTTGCTGGTGTGTTTATGTTGTGTGTTTTCATTGTTGCTCTTACTTTTTCTGTTATGCCTTTGATGTATGGTAGGGTTATCACTGGTTTTGGTTCTTGTCTTTCTGGGTTTCTGGTTCTTTGCTTAGGTTGCTCTTTTCTTTCTGTTGTTGTTTGTTGTTTTCCTTTGTTTATTGCCCATGACACTCTCTTCTGGCACTCACAGAGCACAGTCGCTTCTGCTTTGCTCCCTTATCTTTTTCCCAAGGCTCTTTTTGTCCCATCTGCCTACAGAGCGCTTCTCTGCATTTCCTCTGGAAATCACTATTTTTCAGAAATGGATTTAATTAATTGGTCATTCAACACAATTGATACGATTTTTTTTCTACTATGAGAACGGAGGAGGGGGCTCGCGCTTGCCCTCACGGGACACATGCAGCGGGATATATGCTCGATTCCTGGAAGAAGTGGAATGTCATCTGTCTCTCTCAGCTGTCCATTGAGGACGTCGAAGATGTGTGGATATTTGGCCTGATGATCACTGGATTTCTTCTGATTGGAGTGGGAGGATATCTGGTTTTCCAAAAAATTGGGATGACGGGAGCGATTGGAGGGCGACCCGCCACCATGGACGGCACCGTCCGGGCGGAGACCTCACAGACTGGGACGTTACTCGAGGTGAATTGCAAGCTGGACAATGTCTTAGCTGCGTTACCGGTGTTAGTGCGCAAAACGGATGTCATCTCGGAGAGGGTCACCGGACGGTGTGGAGATGTTTAATCACCGAATTGGCTTTACTGGAGGACTTGAATGATCAATACAGATTTTAAGGCAGAGAGGAAAATTATCTCTGCCTGACCCAAACAAAGTTTTGTTATCCAATCTGACGCCATAAGCAGCCTTGGAGTTGCGTGCAAAAAACCCTACGATGGAAGGAATGCAGACAATTGCTGTGAAAACCCTACCTACCCCCCGCCTTCAGATTGTGGTCTCTGCATCGAGGTCATCAAGATGGAGGCACTCACTGTGCTCTGTGCTTTCCCATGACCTCCCACCCACCTGTGGATTCAGTTGGCCGAGCGCCACACAGGCTGCTCCCGCTAGGGAAACCAGGGTCATCCCCCCCACCCACCCACCTACCGGGTCTCATGTTGTGAACTGTGACGTTCGTGCTTATATGTTGAGGTGTTTTTTTGCATAGTAGAGCTACACCCTGCCGGTGTAACTCTGTTAATGCCTTTTTCTCCCTCCCCGAACTCTCCTCATGTAATCCCCTCTTCATCTATTGAAATGAGCGCCGTTATGGCTGCTCTCGTGGTCTGCCTGTATCTGTCCTGTCTATATGTGTGTGTGTAATCTTGGTCAGGCTGTTCTGTGGAGTCAAGTTCCTATGCTCTGGTTCGCTGGAGCACTGGCAATAAAATTCTCTCTGATTCTCTGATTCTGATTCTCTGATGTCGGGTATCCGCAGGTCTTTAAATCATGTTGTATGTGTTTGTCCTCTTGTTTACGGTCTCTTTCTTCTGTTATTAATACAAAAGATGGATAAAAGAAGCACTCGAGATAAGGAGACGTGGATGTGGGACCATGAACAGGGACGATGGAGTTTACACATTGGACCGCGCATGAGACTGCATCATCAGAGAGGGAAGAGCGGGCAGCAGAGGGCGACAACATCCTGTGCTGCCCGTGGATAAACAGAGAAGGAAGTGACGCCACCATCAGCGTTAGCCTGAGGAAGTTTGCGGCTGCAAACGAAACGTAGCGGGAAAACAGGTAACAAAACTGTTCTGTGTTTTAAAAAATGAACTACAGCATGGAATTAGATTAAGTCATATTACTTATTAAAACATATTAATCATAATATTGTGATTTCACAGATCGGTCACATTGTATTATTGACTAACAGTTGTTTTGATTAGCTTTATTGAAAATAGAGTTCTTTGATTTAATAAAAGAAAAGAGTCGCTTCATCTTCTGTCTTCATTGCTGGAAAGTAAACAGTTTAGAAGCGAATGCATGACCTTGAGGCTGTTTCTTCCACTCTGGCGCTGTGTCAAAGGGAACTGTGGATAAAGGTTAAATACCTTGGAGGAATACCTCCTTCATCACGTTACACCTCTTTGACTAAAATATTACCTGAAAAGGCAGTTCTTTTGTAATTTCTTAACTAAATAATCCTGCAGGGCATTGTGGTGTAAAGCTTTAGCGAAATAAAAATAAAAATAACTAAATAAATTACATAATAACTTAATCAAATGTTATACACAAACAAGCAATAAACAAAACACACACACATCCAGTGGTATTTGTAGACTTTTTAATTAATTCTGGTCCATTTGAACCTTTGAATCGGAACCAAAGCAGTTACGTACCAACTGAAGCTTCAGAAGACACTGATCATGAGATTTTGCTCAAACGAATCAAGCTTCGACACAGTGCTTCTGAAGCACTGTTGTGTTTTGCTTTTGATGCATCTGCTGAAACTTCGGCTTCAAACGGACCATCACTACTTTAAATGTTAACATTTTAGTCTTGTTTTCGTTTTGGCGTTATTTTAACAATGCTTACCATCTGTTTGCACGCTTGTTTTTAAACCATTTATGACAGTTAAACACTTTTAATTCCATTGTTCCAAGTTTAGACGTTTCCCCTCCTTCACACTTTTACATATTCTGTCGGGGTCGGAACACTCAACCTGAGGGTTGCTAGCCACTAAAACCACAGAATTTCTAGCTTTTATTTATTTTTTATCTTTTCAACCCTTTATATGTTTCGAGTCTCCATTTTTACCCTTATCCTGCTTCCACGTACTTTCATCACCATTTTCTCTCCAACCATAATCCTCTGGACTTCATGTGAAGTCCACATCTCCTCCAGCCTGCCAGACCGCCCCACTCTCAACTGCTCTCTCCTGGACCTCCTCTCGAGCCTGGCCACTATTTTTTTAACCATCTCCACTAACACATCTTTTACAGATCCCAGCTCAGGACTGATCACCACTATCGCCGCCTTACCTTTACAGTGCTTCATATGTTCCTGTTTCTCTAAAATAAATCTTATTAAACTTTTACCTTGTCTGTGATTGATTCTGCATGTCTTGGGTCAGGAAACTACCACAAAACATGACACTATTACAGTAATATAGACCCTGATTATAATTGCTAAAGCAATATGATAAAAGAATGCGATAATTACATAAATGAACAATTTCATTGGAAGATGAAGGCAGAAAATAGAATAGCAGTAGGCCCTATTCACATAAATAGTAGGAGTTTTTATGCAAACTTTCAAATAGTTAAAGAATACTCTAGACAGTTTAAATGGCCATTAAGTGTGATAGCAATGTTTGGATTACCCCTGGGGGGGGGGGGGGGGGGGTATTTTAAATGATAAATTCTTAATGTGCAGAAGAGTAGAAATGATGTAAGGTACTATCAGGTGTGCAGTGATAGAATGCATAACAGTTGAAATCAGTAAGGACATTGTGTATACATAACGCCAGGGATCTCTTATCCGCCGCATGTTTCCTAAATCCAGATTGTTGTGATTATTAGTCAACGAATAATTTGTAAGCTTTTACTTACTTTTTGGATTCTTCAATAAAATTCGTAAATATGGAAATATTTACCGATTTTATTACGTAATTAGGATATCCGGAGATATCCTCGGGGCACCACCCCTTTAACAGGGGAACAATGAATCCACACCTCTTATCACTCTTGTCTAAATGTTCCGTGAATCTTTAACGAGCTGCAGTTAATTTATATCAACACAAACAAATCACCTGAGACAAAATCTTAATTGGCAATGACCTTTATTAACTAATATATTCACTTCAGCTCCTTCTAAAGTGTTTAGCCAATCAACGTCAACCAACTTATTTTATCAAACAAATAAGTAATTATGAAATAATAATGATAATGTGAAATACTAATCTGATAGGTGGGGTAACAAAATGGAGGTAGTTGAAACAAAATGGCTGACTCCCTTTTGTCTGGCTGATGGGATCAGACCACTTGTGGAATGTGTGTGTGTGTGTGTGTGTGTGTGTGTGTGTGTGTGTGTGTGTGTGTGTGTGTGTGTGTGTGTGTGTGTGTGTGTGTGTGTGTGTGTGTGAGGTAACTTTTCACCACCACCCTGAAAACCAGAGTGTGTGCAGTGTTCACAGTAAAATTTTACCAAACACTTTAAAATCACAGTGAAACGTAACCAAAACACTTTGAATTGTTTTTCAGTTCAAAGAAAACAACAAATCTATCAAATTGAATATCTAAAAAGCCTGTCCAACCGAGCCCAGCTTAAACAAACACAGATATCACAATAATAAAACAAACAGACCTTACTTGTAGTTCTGATGGCGGTTTTTGGTTCGAAAGAGAAAAACCCGATGTTACTTTGAAGCAGATCACGCGGTTGACTGCTTGTTCTGAACTTATTAGAGAGAATCGGAAGAAAGAGAAAGGGAGAGGAAATAACTCTTGACTCATCGAACCCGAAGCATCCCTCGGAGTTCAAACGAACCAGATGACGGTTCCGTTGCTTTTAAGCGGCTCTCCTCCACACGCGTCCGGAGCCACAGCAGTGAGCGATCTCTTCAAACACCAGCTGAAGCTGGACACAAAGAGAACTTAAGTTTCATTCTGCCTCATCTTATAGGTTTTCAGCGGACGGACCGTGGGTCCGGGGTTCGATGTGGTGACGTCATCACGCTGCTTCTGGGTGCAAAGAATCATAGGACATGAAGTCTCTTTTGGCGCTTTCTTTTATTCTCTTTTTATCTGCTTTTCAATGAGTGCAGATGACAGTTTTTGGAGAAATTACTGCGTAGCAATTTCCTCATGAGGGTAGACCCTCAACACAGATTTTCACCGTTCATACGAACATTCTAAATTTCGTTCATAGGAACGAATTTAGGAATATTTCTATGAATGTTTGATGAATGAAGTCCTAGGTTCCAAGATCAAAATCTTTAACAATAGTATGGAGGAGTTATTTATCAATCTAAGTAAAAAAGGTACATATATTTGGAGGGACTTCAAAGGTGTTATTTTCTGGTGCTGACTAGAATTGCACAATGAATCCTGAGTTGGACCAATCTAATCACAGACCTGCAAACCATACTGAGAAGGTCAATGTTATGTCAGCTATTATGAATAAAATAAAATGGATTAAACTAATCCTTTTTTCCCACCCTATGCACCTGTCATGACCAGAGTCCCCTGCATAGGTTTAATGACCACAACGACCTGTTTAACGATCACTCTCGGGATACACCGCAGCGTTTGAAGCTGATGGCAGCTCGTTAACAAACATCCACAAACAATTAAGACATATTTTCGCCTAATTTATTTACTGACAACGCAAAAAATTATCTGGTACGTATAACTCACTCAATCTGGAGGTAAGTGAAGAAAATTTAGAAAGTTTACTAAATAATATTGACGAAGTTTTTGAGTTATTTGTTATGGGTCCGAAGAAATCAGCAGCTGAGCCTGAAACACCTAGGACCAAGAGGAGCTGTCCTCAGGACTCGCCTGAGACCTCATCTCCCCGTAAGGACATATTAGAATTATTAGATTCTAAAGATAAACAGCTTCTGGGATTTGAGGGGCGACTTCATCTGCTTGAGGTTCTACACCAGGAGTTTCAGAACCTCCGTCAGTCTCTGGAGTTCAACCAGGAGCAGGTGGAGCGGCTCGCCGCTGAGAATGCGTCTCTGCGGGAGTCCGTTTCTTCCCTGGAAGAGGGAATGACGCAGATCACCCTGGACAACAAGATTCTGAAGGAGACAGTTTTGGACCTTCAGGCCCGTAGCATGAGGGATAATTTGGTGTTCGCAGGCCTGCCGGAGCAGGCGGGAGTGGCGGAGAACTGCAAGCAAACAATAAAAAACTTTCTCCAGACCCAAATGAAGATACCTGAAGAAACGGTAAAAAACATCACCTTTCACCGGGTACACCGCCTTGGAGCTAAAAGAGTCGACAGCAGAAGCTCTCGTCCCATCGTGGCTAAATTTGAACATTTTAAGCAGAGGGATCTTGTTAAAAGCAAGCCCCCACAATGCCGCTCTAAAAATGGTCCCATCCCGGAAGTAAGAACAATTGCAGTTCCACCCTCATCCGCTGGGGGCTGGTGTCAGAAGCGAGCAAATCCTCATTGACTCCCATGTTAAAAATGCCGATTTCACAGCAGAAATAAACATGTTTACAGCCTGGTACCAAAACATGTTTTTTGTCTAAATTATCTAGTTTATACTCATGACAACTCTGAGGGGGGTGAATTTTTTTTCTCACTCTTCTGTTTAAGTGTATTGAAAGCCTAAAATTCTGTATAATTAATGAGCATCCGACACACGTGACAGCCGCCTCAGACCCACGTGACCACAGAGCTAGCTCCGTGGAAAGGACTCAGTACAGCCTCGGTCTGGCTTGGAAACTGTTTCGGCATTTTGAGTCTCTGTGTTTGTGTATTCTGTTTTGGATATTATTGGTGCAATTGTTGGACAAAATGACTTGCTGTGGTATTAATTGCACTAATAGAGCGTCCAAGGAGTCTCCACTTCATTTTTTTCGGTAAGTTAAAATCTATATTCGTATTTTATGTCACTGCCACCTTTAAACTAGCTGAGTTTACCGAAGTAGCTAGCTAACTATCAGTTTAACATGTAGCATGTACTGTTTAACCATGAAATTTAAATGTAAAATATGGTAAAATAATTAATAGGGCATATTTAGATGGGTAATAGGGTAAAACCCAGTGCATTTAAGATAAAAATGGGTTGAAATATGACGGAGCGCTAAGAGGGAGACTTCTGTGTCCATTCTTCCATCCGGTAATCCCCAGCGGTCAGGCCGGACAGCCTGACCGATCCAGCGCCTACTTGCTGTGCCTATCTGCTGCGCGGTCTGACCGCTCGTGGAGTTTTTCGTGTCTGACTTTAACTGCATCTAATACTGTATTACAGCGTGAGCGCAACAGCGACAACTTAATATCGATGTGTAAGCAGCCTGAGTGGTAGGGTGTTTTCATCTGAACCCTTAAAACCTCCAGCAGGCTACGCTGCACTATTGACGTGTTAGCGCGCGGCGCTAACAACTTAGCAACGTGACTTGTCTCTGAGAAAGCATAAAAACACGGACGCTTCTTCTGAAGCGGGAAAATAACACTTCTTCTTAAGCAGAGCAGGATGTCGCCTCGGCTCATTCACGGCCGAGCTGGACTGAGCTCAATAACATTGACCAAGAACAGCCACTGGGCCGTTGTAGCTGCCACTGGGCCTACTGAAAGAACATCACTAGCTAGTTTCATCCTATGGTTTCATCACACTCATAAAGTTTTCTTTAGCTGGGGACCCCTGTATTTTACCGCTCCCTTCTGTAGTCTTTCCCTATTAAAATTTAAAATGATTCTGTTAATTCCGTGTATCAATAGAAAAAATGTCTGCTTCTGCCAGCTGCAGTAAATGTAGACTCCATATTATAATTAAGAGGTGCATTCATCTGTGTATCTCCGTTGATCCGCATTAGTGATATTTTCAGCACCAGAACAGTGAAGCTACAGATTCCTGAGTTTGTTATTAATTTTATTTATTCGGTGTATCTTTCCTGTTCTATTTCTCTCTGAAATGAGATCAAATCAGTGCTTCTATGGGTTGTCTCCTCTCTGCAGTAGAAATTTTTACTTTATTTAAAGACGTGTCATATTTTCTCCCCAAGCCTGAGCTGACCGCAGAAATACTGCAGCTCGGTGTTTTGGAAGATAGTGCTTGATGTTAGAAGTCTGTATGCCATCAGATAAACTCTTTTTTTGGGGGGGGTGAGGCTTGTATTGCAGTACGCTCGAGTCAGTAATTTCCGGTAAGTATTTTAAAGCCATATACTTAATTAGTTCTTTGTATGAAGTTTTCCTCTAGGTGATCCAGAGAGGCTTGACCTTTGGGTGAGCAACCAGAAAAGAGAGTGCTGGACTCCCAATTCATTCTCCCGCTTGTGCAGTGAACACTTTGAGAGTCATCACTTCACCACGGACGCCAGGGTACAAACACATTACTTCATATTTTGGTTGAGATTTAAAAAATTGAAGCATTAGCTGTATAACATACCGACGTTACATTGCTGTGTAACTAGAAGAAAATCTTCCCCACCCTTGAATTGTCTGTGACTAGGGCTGTTTAGATGGGAAATAATCATGTTATTAATTTCCATCTAATTCTATGGTTAATTTCTCAGAGAAACAAATTAATTTTTGGACAGTCTTTAATGTGTAACTTTATGTATTTGGATGAATGACAAATATTCATGTTAAACTAAAACGTTAGGCATTTAGGGGGAAAAAAACAAAATAATAAACATTATACAGATGTCAAATAAATGAAACTGTAATTAAACTATATATTTTCAAAGTCTCGATTCTGGATAAAATCCAACAACATATGCTTTATAAATAACAAACACTACACATGCCTTTTACACACACACACACACACATGCAAGCACATTCACTCACACACACAGTGCTCTGGTGTACCAGTGTGTTCTTCAGAAGCTGACCTTGTCTGATGTGTGTGTATGTGAATCTCTTTTTTTTTTAATTAAGTAATTATGTTTTTTTATTTTGGGGGAGAGTTTGCCTGAAGGACACAGCCGTACCTACAATCTTCTCGTCCTTTAAGGTCAAAAAACCTGTTCCAAGAAGGGAAGAACAGGTAAGTAGGAATGACAAGGTAAGTTTTGAACGTCATCAGCTTATCTGAAAGTAAGATTTAAAAGACCCTATCATCTTTGGTGATCTCACGCCTACACAACATCCTTTGTTCTAATGGTGAAATTAATTTAAGCTGATTTTTTACCTGCTGACCTCTATAACTTTATTCCTGTTCCTAATTACAAAGAAACACCTGTGCAGAGGAGGTGTTTTGAAGGTGACAGTTTCTGCTTATCAAGCAACAATTGACAGCTACAATAAAGCCTGATTCATGCTTCTCTGTCAGCTCCAACAGGGAGAGACACGCACGCACGGACGGGGACGTTTAGCTCTCATACTTCTCCATCTCCTGGTGAGTGTTGCAAAGCAATTCCCGGACCGGACAGCAGAGGGCGGAGAGCTGTTCTGTGGTATCCTGTCATGTATCGGTCCAAAATAGTGTGATGATATTGTGTTTTTTGTACATAACAGACTTTTTAACAGACAAATTTGTCGCATTCTCCTACACCTCTTCACGGGCTCGCCACAGTAAATATTCTATTTGGCGAGAGATAAACTTTATTGTATTTATCCTAGTGAATCTATAATTAAACGGGTAAACTAGTAGCACCACATCCAACATCAAAGAAAGTAAAATGTTATTATCAGGAGAGGGAGAATGTTTAAGTGGTTAGCAGCAGTGTGCTAGCCGATGGCCCCCTCCATGAGGTCACCACAGCTCAGCAGAACATCATTGTAGCTTCTTCTGGGGAGAAAAACACTTAGAGAAATAATAAAGTTAACAGCTGAAATAGCAGGAAATAATACAGTTAAAGAGCAGACTGTAGAAGAAAGAAACCCCTGGGTTAAACTGGTCTGTCTACTGCATAATGCTAAACTCTAACATGTGTCCTCAGGGAAGGACCTGATTGGTGTCCAGAACCTGCTGAAGAAGCACCAGGCTCTGCAGGCTGAGATCACAGTTCATGAACCTCGCATCAAGGCTGTCACCCAGAAAGCAGAGACCATGGTGGAGGAGGGTAGAGCAGGTCTGGTCCTGACATGTTTCTGAGGTGTCTGCAGGTTCTGGCTCACTTTTTTTGGGTCCAGGTCACTTCGCTGGTGAGGAAGTGAAGACTAAACTGTGGGAGCTTCATGGACGTTGGGACACGCTGAAGGCCAAGGCGTCCCAGAGGAGGCAGGATCTGGAGTACTCTCTGCAGGCTGAAAATATATGTAACTCTCATATAAGCTCTTTTATTATTCATTCTTACATGCTACTCTTTTTATGGGATCATGTTATACTGTCCTGCACAAGCTCTTAAAACAGCTGCAGGAACTCCAAAAGGGAGATGTTTCTGCTCATCTTCTAATTACAAGTTCTTGTGACATGTTAGATCCTGCCTAACAAGGCAATATATATATATATATTTACTTTAAAAGCTCATTTTATTATTCTATGCTATGGAAACTCGCTCAGATACTCACGGCCTCCACACAAAGATTAATAGCGGTGTATCTTTTCCTGCACCAGAGAAAGGAGTGTGCACATTCCATCTACACTCAGTGCCTCTCCGCACCGTGAATGTATCTTCTCCTGTCATGAATGTATCACGATGTTCCTGGTACTTTCAAGGATAAATGTTCTAGACTGTCCGCTAACAAGGCTGTTATTTTCACCTGTCATAATCATTGACGTATGTACATGGCAAACTGCGTATGTAACATTCCTGTAATCTTCAATAAAAATCAGCCGTTTTCAGCGGAGCGGCGAGAGTCTGTCCGAAGCATCTGGCAAGAGCAGGTCGCGGGACTTGCTGCAGAGACTCTCCCCCTCATGAGCGGTGAAACAGTGAATGGACTTCTGATCATTTGTCTCCTCGTTCTGTCAACTTAAAAGGTGTTTAACTCCATCTACTCCGTACCCGTGCTTGGTCTAACGGAAGAGAGACCAACAAATTTGGCGTCACGAACAGGATTTTTTCTTTTGAAGAAAAAGGAGTTTTTTGGAGGACGATTCGACCCACTGACCCAGCGAACAGATCTTGGCACAAAAACACCGCGGTGAAAAACTAAGGTAAGCAGGCCTTATTTCCTAAAATCTGCTCATTGGATTTATCCAAAGCATTTGTGTCCAGAATCACAGTAGCTGAGGTCCTAAAATAATAGTTGGAGAAGAAAGTGGAGACAAGTGCAGGAGAATAAGAGATTTTTTTTGTAATGGTTTAATGGTGAAATGAAATGAGGATTTTTTGTAATGGTTTAATGAGTAAATGAGAAAAGGAAATAGTACAGATGAAGGGATGGTGACCCAGGGCTGAGGAGCCCTAAAGTTCCATTTCCAGGTCGTGGCTGACCACACTATTTGCTGACGAGCGGATAGAATATATAACGAGGTTATATAAAGCTTGGCTGGATCCATAGGTGTGGGAACCCTAAAAGTCCACAGGTCAAGGACCTGGTTTTTTGTGTTAAGGGAAGGGGAGGCTAAAGAGAGCTCCCTGGATTTTAAGGTCAAGGACCTGGTTTTTTGTGTTAAGGGAAGGGGAGGCTAAAGAGAGCTCCCTGGATTTTAAGGTCAAGGACCTGGTTTTTGTGTTAAGGGAAGGGGAGGCTAAAGAGAGCTCCCTGGATTTTAAGGTCGAGGACCTTTTGCATGAAATGAGAAAAATGTTCTGAGGTAACTGTTTTTGCATAAGATGATAAATGTTTTGACTGCTTCTGTGTGAAGAGAGCAGTGCTTTTGGCTATTTCTGCGTGCTTTGGCTGTGTCTGCGTAAATGAGCAATGTTTTTTGGCTGTTTCTGCATGAAATGAGCAATGTGGTTATGAAACTGTATTTTTGACACAAAACACACACTATAGTTAGAAAACACGCTGTATGAATGTCAAGTCTCAATCAGCTTTGTCGGTAAAACAGATGGAGCTGACTGATTAACTTGAATTACATAATAAAAGAGACAGAATAAACTCCAAATGAGAGTAAATAAGTCTCTTTAGGCTTAGCAACATATCATCTGCACTTACAGAGCAGATAGTAAAGAATAAGTGTAAAAGCACATAGATTTGTTCATATCACAACTAATAGAGATTAGTTGAATAAGCGGAAATCATCACACGCTCCGCAGTTAAAAGATGGGTAATGAATGAATGAACTGTACTAACAAATTGTATGTGTAAGTGAGAGAAATACAGCGCGCCCTCGTGGATGCTCTAGGCAAGATTTCCTCACCTGAAACACAGGTAGAAGAAGGAAATACCACAGAGGTCATTGGCGCTGTCTCACTAATCAATACTGACGAGTTAGAGCCCCCTATGGGCTAAACCCCTTGTCAGTCCAGATTGTCACCAAAAATCAGCAACATACAACATACTAACAGAATGATGGAAAAAGAACATGTTTGTGAAACGGAGGATGATGGATGGGGGTCTGATGACATTCTGAGTACACTAGGAGAACAATTAGCTTGTATGGAAACTGTGATAAATTTGACAAGCAGCCCGGTTGAAGCTACGAGAAATAAGGATTTATTGAGAAAGTCAGCAGAAAAGGCGATGAAGGAAAAAGGAACAGATGTTAACAGCAGAGGAAATTGGAGCAGGATTTGGGAAATAAAAGCTGCAGAAGCGAGAGAGAAAAGGCAGAAGGCTGAAGAGACTCTGAGGGAAGCTGGAATGTTGATGAGGAAGAAAGCAAAAAGTGAGGTTGACAGGCAGGCAGCCCGTGTGAGTAAGTACATGCAATGGATAATGTTATGGAACACCGCCAGACCTCATATGAAGCGCGTAAAAAAGGAGCATCCACCTCCTTACTCTTCTACTGCTCCGACAGCTGGAATGTATCCATTAATTAAAGTCACAAGCGGTACTTTGGACATTCAGCCTGAAGTCCCACTTGATAATGAGAGCGAGTGGTCAAGTGTAACTATGACCTCAGGATCAGACGTTAAAGTCAGTCCAACAGCCCCTGAGACACACAATTCTTATCTGAGAAGCAATGAAACATTAAACAGCATTCCGTCTGCGAGCAACCCAGCTGCGCCGTTCGAACTGAGAGCTAAGCGTCAGGAAATAGATAACTCACAGAAACAGTTCACTACTCCCTACTTCAGTCAGGGCCTGGATGCTCCTGATTACAACATGGGTATGAGCTTCCATGCTCCCCCTCCAGCGCCTTGGGCAAACTGCCCACCAGTGTGGCCCATAGCACAAGAACAAAAGCAAACACCAATTTTTTCTTCCTCTCAGCTAAAAGGTGAAGAGCAGGAAGACCCTAATAAAAGTGTAGTGGTTAAAATGGTTCTGGTGGGACATGAATCATCTGATCCCCCTCCAGCAGCCAGTCAGAGTCATAAATCTCTCCTAGAGGAAGAATGGCCAGAGCCGCCCAATAAGGAAGAGTTTGGGGGAGAAGGGGATCAGCTTTCCCTCCCTCCATCCCCAGAGCCAGAAAGAAGACACACTAGGTCCATGGGACCACCCACTTACCAATTACCCCTGGTGCAGAATAAACCCAACGCCCAGAAAGTCTATCAGCCGTATTCCCTTGGTGACATACAGGCTTTAATAGATAAATTACCAGACATACAGGAGGGTGGAAACACTTGGCTTTCAGACTTTGACACCCTCACTGCTGGACAGGATCTTGCATTGGGAGACTTCAGAGCGGCAATCACTAGATGCACGTCACGCTCACAGGCAGAGGCCTTAGAAAAGGATGCTGGCACAACTCGTGATCCTAATTCTGTACCACTCGGTAGAGTGATAGCCCAATTAGGCCCAGCTGTCAGAAAGATGTTTCCGCTGAAAGATAGCAGCTCAATGTGCAAATTTAAATGGGATGCTAAACAAAACCCTTCAATTTACCTGAACCAAGCCATTGACACCTGGGTGGCCCAAACTGGCCAACACCCATCCAAACGGGGCACGAGCAGCATGTGGTTTAAAAATGCAGTCCTGAAAGGAGTCCCTGATTCGGTGACTCAGAAGATGGAAGATAACCCTGATTTGCAGGATTGTGATTTTAGCAAATGGAAAAAACATCTTATTTTTAACCTTAATAAAATGCAGGTAAAGGAAGAAAAAGACTCTGATAACTTAGAAGATTTACAAAAACAATTGCTCAGGGTCCAATTACAAGCTGCAAAAAAGACTTTAGGTGAAAAGGGGGACAAGGTTAAGAAACAAATGGTTGCGTCCACAGCCACACCCCCACCACAGCAGACACTTCCTGATCAGGTTTCACCTATAGCTTGGCAGCCGCAGCCACCATATTCAGGGCAGCCACAGCAACAGCCACAATATTCAGGCCCATATGTAAACACACCCAACCCATATGCTCCCCAGCGACCACCTTTTGCTGGTCGAACCAGAGGCGGTTTCAGGGGAAGGGGACAGTGGAGGCCAGTAGGCAGCAAAGGGGGACCACGTGCACAAGACATTTGCTTTAACTGTGGTCAACCTGGACATTGGTACAGGAACTGCCCCTTGCCATACAGCCCACAGAAGGAAGGTCGAGGCAGAGGCACCTTTTCAGGACAAGGAGGGCCTACCGGACCCCACACCCAGATGCCAATGATGGGCTGGGAACAGTGGGAGGGTGGTCCAAGACAATAGGACGCCCCACAGAGAAACTCCGACGGTCAGGGAGCCACGGCAGACCCCCTGCTGTCAATAACTGTAGATGGACAACATCAGCCATTTCTGGTTGACACTGGTGCCACCTGCTCCACCATGCAAACTGTACCGCCCTCTAAGACATCTACGCGCACTATCTCAGTTACGGGCTTCTCTGGGGAACAACAAACTCTGCCTTTCTCCCTGCCACTCCCAACTACGGTGGGAAACCAGACAGTACTGCACAGCTTCGTCTGTTCACCAACAGTTCCAGTCAACTTACTAGGAAGAGACCTCCTCATCAAATTAGGAGCCACCATTTTGTGTGGTCCTACGGGACTTACTGTCACTCTGCCAGAAGGGACTATTTTGCCCTGCACCGGAGAAGCCAGTGATGGCATGTACTTGGCCCAAAAACTGCCTGACATATCAGACTGTGCTGAGATTTATTGGGCTCTGTTGGACACTGAAACCAAGGACACTCCTGGCTTAATGACTCTGTACCAGCAGTGGAAACCCTGGCTGACTCAGGTCCATCCTTATGTTTCTCCCCCTGACCCTCCTCACCTAACATTATTCTATGACAGACATGATTCAGTTTGGTACAAAGAGGCCTTCCAAAATCATTTAGAGGGACAGCAATGGTGTGTACAAACAACAGATATTTATGCTGCACCAGAAGGTGTGGCTGCTGCAGCCAACCTAACCCAGGAACAATTGGCATGGTACATGATGGGAGATGAGGCAGTCCCTCATGTCTCTCTTGCTTTACATCCAGCCCATCAGGCAAAGGAACTAGGAGGAATGGTTAAACGTTCCCTAACAACCACTGATTGGCGTTCAACTCCTCTTCCACAAGTGTCATATTCAGAATCAACTCAGACATTTAAAATTACTGCGGCTTGTAGTAATTCGACACATTTACAACAGGAAACAATTAGCAGATCTCATGGCCGTGAACGAACCGATCACCCTGATGCTCTGATAATGTTAGACTTGCTTCCCACCTCCCTGTGGTCAACAGGCCCCACTGATGTTGGGTTGGTGTCCATCCCACCTGTGACCTTTCACCTAAAGGATCATGCTCCTTTGTGGGTTCCACAATACCCACACAAACCGTATGCTGAAGAGGGGATAGCAGACACCATCAATGGCCTGTTGCAGGCAGGGGTGTTGGAGCCATCCATGTCAGAATGGAACACCCCGATTTTACCTGTAGAAAAGAAAAATACTGGTAAATATCGAATGGTTCATGACCTGCGTCGTATAAACGCCCTACTTAACACAGATTCACTTCCCGTCCCTAACCCATATGTGGCTCTGACAAACATACCACCTTCACATGCATGGTTTACCTGCATAGATTTGGCAAATGCATTCTTTTGTCTTCCACTTCATGAGTCTCTGAGGGACATTTTCTCTTTCACATTCAGAGGTCAGCAGTTCAGATACACGCGTTTGCCACAAGGGTTCACCCTGTCACCTGGTTTGTTCAACCAATGCTTGCGACAGCTCCTAGACACATGCCCCCTGCCTGATGACTGTGTTTTGGTGCAGTATGTTGATGATTTGCTCTTGTCAGCGCCCTCTGCAGGCTCCTGTCTGCAAGCTACTCAGACTCTATTGTCTCATTTGGCCAAGCTTGGATTTAAGGTCAGTCGGTCCAAACTTCAGATAGCCAGGAAACAAGTGTCATTTCTAGGCAGGATGGTTTCACAAGTTGGTGTGTCATTGTCACCAGATCACAGAAACTCCATTCTCCATCACTCTAAACCTGAAACAGTCAAAGACATGTTATCTTTCCTAGGCCTGACAGGCTACAGTAGGCACTTCATCCCTGACTATGTTGGTCTTACTGCCCCACTACGTGCTCTCATAGCACCTTTTGGGATGCGTCAACTCACAGCTCACCTGAACTGGACTATTCCAGCAGAAGAAGCTTTCATAAAACTAAAACAACAACTCTCCACTGCTAGTGATTTAGCTACTGCAGACTACAACTCTACGTTTTTCCTTGATGTTTCTGGATCAGAAACTCATGTAAATGGAGTTCTGTTCCAGAAAAAAGGGGGAGGTCAGAGACAAGTTTTGATGTACATAAGTGTCATGTTAGATAACATGGAAAAAAGACACCCACCTTGCACACAGCATGTAGCAGGTCTTGCTAAAATTTTACAAAAAACAGCACATATTGTAATGGGCTATCCTCTGAAAGTACTAACAACACACAGTGTAGTGGCTTACATTACATCACAAGCTTTCACCATGACCCCACTAAGACAAAGAAAAATCAGTAAGATCCTAGAGGCCCCACACATTACCTACACACATGAAGGGATAAACATGGCAGACCACATGGGTAATGGGGAGCCTCATTCGTGCGAACAAAGAACAGCTATAGAAGAAAAAGTCAGACCAGATTTAAGTGCAACCCCACTAGAAAATCCTGATAGGAATTGGTTCACAGATGGCTGTTGCTACAGAGATGACAATGATGGATTAAAAGCTGCATGGGCAGTAGTAGAGCAACTCCCTACAGGCGAGTGGTTCACTGCAGGAGCAGAAAAGCTGAAAGGACAACAGTCAGCACAGAGAGCAGAAGTGTTAGCTATTATTGCCGCTCTCAAAATGAGCACAGGGAAAAGAGTAAATATTTACAGTGACTCAGCTTATGCTGTAGGAGCCGTGCATGTTGAATTGAAACAGTGGTTGAGAGCTGGCTTTGTGACTGCTGGGGTGAAACCCATAAGACATGAGTCTGAGATGAGGGAACTAGCAGAAGCTTTATTCCTTCCAGCAGAAGTGGCAGTGATAAAATGCAAAGGACATAGTCAGGGCTCTGACTTTGTATCTAAGGGAAATCAGGAGGCAGATAGAGCTGCCAAGATAACAGCTGAATATCTTCCTGTATATAACCTGGTGGTTGAAACAGCAACTGTTGAAAAAAGCATTGATCCTAGAATATCCATCACAAAAGAAACACTGAAAGACATGCAAGATCAGGCTTCAACACAGGAAAAAACTTTATGGTTGGCAAGAGGTGCCACTAACACAGATGTTTGGAGAAGTCCAGATGGTAGACCCATACTGCCACCTGGCATCAGGCAAACTGCAATGGAAGAAGCACATGGTGTTGGACATGTTGGTGTAGCACAGATGATGAGAAATTTGTCCCCCTGGTGGCATCCATACCTAACAGACATGGCCAGGTATTTGGTTAAAACTTGTACAGAGTGCACTCAGTTTGGCATTAGACCTACCCTGAAACCAATCCAAGGTCAATTTCCAATACCAACATGCCCTGGAAAGGAGATAATCATAGATTTCACGGACATGATTGAAAGGGTAAAAGGCTACAGGTATCTCCTAGTGTGTGTAGATGCCTACACTGGATGGCCGGAGGCTTGGCCTGCGAAAAAAGAAGACAGCAAAACAGTCATCAAATGTCTGATCAATCATTACATTCCCCAACACGGGTTCCCGGAAAAAATCAGATCGGACAATGGGACACATTTTAAGAACAAAGATCTACAAGAGGTTGAAACCATGCTGGGACTGAAACACAAGTTTGGTTCAGTGTATCATCCTCAGTCCCAGGGAAAGGTGGAAAGGATGAATCAAACGCTAAAGGTCAAATTGGCTAAAATCTGTGCACAGACCAAATTAACTTGGTTAGATGCTTTGCCCCTTGCTCTGATGTCCACACGGAGCTCAGTTAACAAAACCACAAGGTTTACTCCCTTTGAACTACAGACTGGACGGCCGTTTCCAGGACCCGCCACAAAACTACCTCTGACTGCTGACCTGACTGACTCCCTCGACTCAAGGTCATATTATAACCTGTTGCATAGTCTTGTCTCTCAGTTCTCATTACAGGTTAAGGCTGATCGTACCACCACAGAAGCCCCATCTCCACAACCTGGGACAGACTGGGTCCTGCTGAAGGTCACCAAAAGGAAGTGGACGGAACCGAGGTGGACCGGACCCTACAGGATCACAGAGAGGACGTCACACGCTGTCCGGCTGGACGGCAAAGGAGACTCCTGGTACCATTGGACCCAGTGTGCTGCTGCGGAGGAGCCACACCGCACCCTGACCGAGGTCCGAGAGAACCTGTCCCAGAGGGAGGAGCCTAACCTGGAAGAGAAGCAGCCGACATCTGCCTGACCAGAAAATACCCAAGGACCAGGACGAGAAGCAGCTGACTTTTGCCTGACCGAAAAAAAAAAACACAAACACAAACACAAACACTACAAGGGACTTAAAAACCAAGAAGAGAAGTAGCTGGCTACAGTAGCGTGCCAAGCTACCAATTCTGCGGGACGAGGTAGCGTGCCAAGCTACCAACACATCCTGCAGGACGAGAATCCTGATACCATCGCCCCCTGCAGCTGCCTGGAGCCAGTGAAGGGACCTCAACAGGGGGAAGAAGTAACCACCCTATGAACATTCTACAAGGGTTCTATTTAACACCCTCATTTATTTTACAAGGGTTATATTTAACACCCTCCATTTATTTTATCAGGGTTCTATTTCACACCCTCATTTACACCCTCTACTCATTTTATATTATTATTCATTTACCTGTTTAGTATTAGATATATGTTTGTGCTCATTGCATTTCTACAACCTTTATGTACATTCTGATTACTCATTTGTCCTGGCCAGAAGAAGATTCTGAGGGTAACATAATTCAACAAGATTCCTTTACAATAGTCTGGTATCCAAGTAAGCTGAACCGGTTGGCATACAGGGACAGCAGGTTGGGGTTTAGGAACGACAGATACTTTCGCGATTTCTCTAATTTAGAAGATTTGTTAACAATAGCAATTTTAGCTTATAGCGCGTTCTCTGGTACTGATTACAGCAGCTATAACCCATACAATTTCTTAAATTAACACCGAGATAAGCTTAATTATGTCTTGGCCATTCCCTCCCATTCTCACGTGCAGGCAGCGCCTCCTGATCCTACTTCTCACTGTTATCCTGCTATGTATCCCATTGGCTATTTTGTTCCTCTGTAATGACTTCCCTTTGCCACCCTCACCCCCTACATCCACTAAGAATACCCCGCTAACACCAGCAGCCCATCCCCCACCTATTGACCGGCACAAGCGATCCCTACCTCTCCCATCCCCCTCACCTCCTTGTAACTCTGATTTTCTCTATTTAACCCAAGCAATCACTCTGTGTATTCCATTATCCACAGCCACCACGGTTACACTCCCCTACGATGTTTTGCCCTCGAACCCTGCCCATGGTCGTTACACGCCATCTGATTTGAAAGAGCATGTTTGGTACTTAACGTGGGGATCTTATTCTCAATGGAAGTGGAGCAGTCTTGTTGCTGAAACAGGCAATGATTGGTCATCCTACTCCAAAGGAGTAGCTACAACTTGGCGTACCAGAATCAAATTGATAAAACAAGGCGGATCCAAAACAGGCCCTTTGACTTTCATAATTAGCCCAATAAACTCTCTCGGATGTACCCTATTTGTACTTGCTCCCTGGATTAGTGGAAAGTACTACTGGACAGTGCACCTTTGTGTCCGTAATATCACTTCACCTACCTCTACGGTCTTTGATATTGTCGGGCTAAGTAGATCTCACCCCACTCCTGTGTTAACTGACATGGATAAAGTAAATAAACCCTCACCAGCGATAACTATTGACACTAAAAGCCCTTCTGTTGATGAGACATTTCAGACGGTTACAGGCATTTCTGCCAGCACTAACAATTGGTTACTCCTGGCAGAACAAGCTGCCAATGCTTCAGATCAAGATTGTCTTGTTTGCCTTTCAGCTCGTCCTACGCTCCGTATTGTACCACCTCCGATCCCTCCAAAATGTTTCCTCCATTTGATGAACGGGACTTCCCTAAATTCTAATTGTACTAAGTTTGGACAAATCTTTCCTAAGCAAAAACCAGGTGATGACATTGGTACGCCCTTCTTTTCAAACACTGTGGCCCCTAATAACTTCACTTGTATTCATCTAATTGGACGAGGAGGTCCTTTTCTGGGGAATGTCACCACAAATTGGTGCGTTAATACAACCGTGTCAGTTTCATCACAATTCAAACCCAAAAAGCGTGCCAATCTATGGTGGTGGTGTGGTGCTCCACAACTCTATAATGGTTTTCCCAGGAAATCTTCAGGTTTGTGTGCCCTTATTACTTTACTGTTACCTGTCACTGTAACTCCCGTAACACTTCGTGATACCCCTATTTCCAGCTCTCATTCTAACACCCGACGAAAGCGATCTGTACCAGCTTTACCTGCATTTCACAATCCCACTTATATAGATGCCATTGGTGTCCCCAGAGGCGTTCCCGACGAATACAAATTAGTTGACCAAATAGCCGCCGGATGGGAATCTATTTTTGTCTGGATAACTCCCAATAAAAATGTTGATCGCATTAACTACATCCATTTCAATGTTCAACTCTTAAGTAACTACACTCGTACTGCACTTGAGGCAGTTCACCAACAACTATCGGCTACTTCCTTGATGGCGTTCCAAAACAGAATTGCTGTAGACATGCTGTTAGCTGAAAAAGGGGGCGTGTGTGCCATGTTTTCCCACGATTGCTGTGTTTTTATACCCAACAATACGGCCTCAGACGGTAGCTTAACTAAGGCCTTAGACGGCCTCCGCTCTTTGACAGAAAAAATGAAATCCCACTCTGGTGTAGACACCTCCATGTGGGACTCTTGGCTTGATGTATTTGGTAAATATAAATCGCTCGTTTCCTCCGTCCTGGTGTCCATGTCTGTCTTCGCTGCCATTCTTGTTACTTGCGGTTGTTGCTGTATCCCCTGTCTTAGGCAACTAGTCCAGAGATTGATTACCATTGCCATCTCTCCTCCACCTGCTGACCCAATTATACAGATGCCCTTGTTACTAGCCAATCCTAACATCTATTTGGGAGGGGAACCCTCTGATGAAAGTGATGACTCTCATGATGAAGAAGATGTTGTTAGAGTGTGAGAATATTGAGTGATTTCTGTAACAATCCCTTAAACTGTTTATTTCTATGCGTTTTTTGTTTTTATTGTATTTGTTTCTTTTGATCATTGATGTCCTAGGCATGCACACTCTATGCCAACAGGCGTTCGCCCCAAAATTGAGATATGACAAAAGGGGGGACATGGGGGAATTTTCCCTATAAACATATGATAATTAGGGTTTTTCGCCCTCATATGGAGTTGCATGCGATCCATACATGTTGTGACATGTTCAGTTGAAAGTATAATCATGTTTTTTGTATTAGTTTACTGCTAGAGATATGAGAAAATGTAATCTGATTGATTGTTTGTATTGGTGTTTTAAAACTCTGCTTATTATATTCTTTTTGATGGAATTTGGAGTTGTTACTGTTTTGATTTCCTACATCTTTGTTGAACTCTTAAAAGAGTTCAAAAGGGGGATTGAAAATATATGTAACTCTCATATAAGCTCTTTTATTATTCATTCTTACATGCTACTCTTTTTATGGGATCATGTTATACTGTCCTGCACAAGCTCTTAAAACAGCTGCAGGAACTCCAAAAGGGAGATGTTTCTGCTCATCTTCTAATTACAAGTTCTTGTGACATGTTAGATCCTGCCTAACAAGGCAATATATATATATATATTTACTTTAAAAGCTCATTTTATTATTCTATGCTATGGAAACTCGCTCAGATACTCACGGCCTCCACACAAAGATTAATAGCGGTGTATCTTTTCCTGCACCAGAGAAAGGAGTGTGCACATTCCATCTACACTCAGTGCCTCTCCGCACCGTGAATGTATCTTCTCCTGTCATGAATGTATCACGATGTTCCTGGTACTTTCAAGGATAAATGTTCTAGACTGTCCGCTAACAAGGCTGTTATTTTCACCTGTCATAATCATTGACGTATGTACATGGCAAACTGCGTATGTAACATTCCTGTAATCTTCAATAAAAATCAGCCGTTTTCAGCGGAGCGGCGAGAGTCTGTCCGAAGCATCTGGCAAGAGCAGGTCGCGGGACTTGCTGCAGAGACTCTCCCCCTCATGAGCGGTGAAACAGTGAATGGACTTCTGATCATTTGTCTCCTCGTTCTGTCAACTTAAAAGGTGTTTAACTCCATCTACTCCGTACCCGTGCTTGGTCTAACGGAAGAGAGACCAACAAGGCCCAGCAGTACTTTGCGGATGCTGATGAGGCCGAGTCCTGGATGAGGGAGAAGGAGCCCATCGTTTGAAGTCCAGACTAAGGGAAAGACGAGGACTTGGCCGAGGTATGGAAGTCCCTTCCTGAGAAACTCCAATCGCTTTTCTTTGCTCTCTTTCCAGTCCTTCATAATTAGTGTTTCTGTATTTGTCATTTCCTTTGATCCGCATTAGTGAATGCCGACAGATGCTGTGTCCCGACCTTCACCCTCTTCCTTCAGGCTGACATGTCTGCAGGAACCTCAATGTGCTCTCTGTTCCTTATCTCTCCCTCCCACCTGTTGTTCTGCAGCTGGTCGATGCGCCGCAGTGGCAGCTCCCATTGGAGGCTTCAGGATCCCGCCCACCCCCACCTCCCCATCGGACTCTGATGTTGTATACGTGCTGTCTGTGCTTCCATGTCGGGTGTTTTTTTGCATTGGAGTGCTACACCCTGCTGTAGCCCTGTTAATGCCTTTTTTTCCCCCTCCCTGAACTTTCCTCATGTAACACCCTTTTCATCTAACTATTAAGGTAGCGCGACTCATGTTGCGAATGACCGCAGTCACCAATTCTTGTTATGTGTCTTACCCACGTATGTCTGATCTTTGAATTGTGTGTGCTGAAACTGAATTTCATTTCTCTGTATGTCCTGCACATGTGGAGAATATGACAATAAATGACTTTGACTTTTGACTTTGACTTTGTCTACCAGACGTCGTTGCTCGTTTGAGCGTCTCATGGGTTAGGGGTAGAAGTGCTGGCCTCGCACAGGAAGTGATGACAAACGTGTTCCCGTCGCTCTTATTTCAAACGGTTTACAAGCTGTGATGTGTGTTCCCGCTGCAAAGCAGCCATGACACGTGGCAGCCGGCAGAAGGCTCACGCTTTTCCACTAAACACCCGCAGAGCTGCGTCTGCAGTGAACTGAGCAGGGTTTGTTTTACGGTGGCGGATCCGATTGGACCATCGCTGCGAGAAAGCTCCACTTGTGTCAGACGAGCTGAAGGTTCTGATGTTCTGCTACACAGGCTCTCCTGAAGAAGCACGAGGCCCTGATGTCGGACCTGTCGGCTTACGGCAGCAGCATCCAGGCCCTGAAGGAGCAGGCCCAGTCCTGCAGGGTGAGTTCAGAACCCTCGGCCCGTCAGAACATTCTTATCCACCACGTTCTAACACCAGACCTGTTAACCCGACAGCAACAAGGTAATCAGCAGGTGCTTTTGTCCTGCAGGACCTGAAGGCCAACGAGTCCCGCCTGAGGGACATCAACAAGGTGGCATCTGAACTGGAGTCAGAAGGTCTGATGGCTGAGGAGGCTCCTATGGTTCAGGCTCAGGTGAGCGTCACCTGTCTGCAGCAGCTGGTCCCTCTCACTTCCTGGTTTGTTAACTCTGCTCGTCTCTGTTTGTAGCAACAAGAACATCTGGGTTCTGCTCCTGGAAAGGTGCATGTTGTCCTCCGCCTCCACCAGAACCAGACGTGGTGTTTTTGTTACCACTCGTTTGTTTGTTTGTTTACAGGATGAAGCAGACTCTAACACGGCGTCACCCTGGAAGGTGAGTTCATTCAGCTGATCAGAGGTCACCTCTGATGGCAGCAGTCACGGCCGACCGTGCTGACATCACACAGGAATTCAGGTGACCCGGCAGGCACCAGGTGCTGGTGAAAGTGGGGACATGTCAGCTGGTTGCCATGGCTACAGTTATCTTTATGCATCTGTATGACTGCTGACTGGTGTGTGTTTCCTGTGACCTTTGACCTCAGACCGTACGGTTGGGCGTTCAGACGACGGCTAACTTTAATTCCATCAAGGTAAGAGGAAGCTCTTCCCTTCCTGTCTGAGCGATCCGTCTCCAGGTTTCCTCGTCCGGCGTCCAGCCCGCTGGCATCCACCTTCATCTCACCTTCATCTCATCTCACTTCATTTATAGTGCAATACTTTCACATTATCATTTTCCCACACTTCTGTATACCTGTATTTTGTTGTTTTTCAATAAAGAATGACAAATTATTTAAGTTTGGTTTTTGTTGCACAGAAATATATATCTGTAAAAAATATCTACAAAGCTAATGTTTACATAACAAGTATGATTGGGTTTTGCAATACGGCACTCAAGTTTATTTTAGTAAGATTTTCAAACCAAGTAAAGTTAGTAAAGAACACATTTCTATTGTCTGCTAAGAAACTGTTGGGATTTAAAATGGGCCTGTTGTACAAATAACTTGTAAATGATTAGTCCTCACTTTTGTCTTAACCAAAGAAATTCCAGTAATTGAGCAAAAACATTTTTTTTTAACACTACATTTTATAAAACAGGGCGCAAAGTGTCGGCACATGTATGTATGTCGATGGTCCGCCCCAAACCAAACCAGGAGACACAGACGTCAGGGAGGCCAAGGTTGTGTCCGACGGTCTCTGCAGCTCTCTGGGCACCACGCCTCACGTAGCTGTCTCCAATGGTCCAAATGGCTATGGAGGGAAAAAAAACAGGTTTGTCATAATTGTTTTGAAGTACAAAACCATACATGAAGTGGTCAAGACAGGAACTTACACGCTGCGTTGTGTAGCTGATGTTGGAGACACACAGGCTGCCATGGTGACCTTTTAACAGATCTAAGAAAAAAATGTAATAAAAGAATGAAACTTAAAAACTCCCAGACCTCATGTCATATTTACTAATCAGCTATGGCTGATTTATTGTTTGGATCACGGTGAGTTACACTAATTCTAATATATTTTTATTTCTATTATACATACATACTTTTTAACTGTTATTTTCACATGACTGTTATCAGGCTCTCTTGTTCTGGTTCTCATGATAATCCCGTGTCTTCCAGTAAGTTATCTTGTGCTTACTTCATCTGTATAATGTCTCTTTACTTTTGGTAAATTGTACTGAGTCCAGAATAAAGGCTAGTTGGCTGTACAAGATTCAAACAAGTATTACGTTTTGGAAATATATGAAACACCGCCAGCATCTGTTAGAGCCTGTGGTGGGGTGCTGAGGGCCGGCTCCAGCCCAGGAATGAGCTCTCCACGCCGGCCGGGAGGGTTTGAAACACCGCCATCCTCTCCTCTGCTGGCTGTTCATTCTGTTATGGTTACCGGTGCTTGTGTTGCAATGTGAAACGCTTGGTCTCAGATTTTGTAAGAAAGATAATAAAATGTCCCCCCAAAATACGACTTAAATATATTTTCTCTTCTTCATGATACATTTAATGGCTGGTGCGACTCAGGAGTGATAGCACCGAAAAAAACTGTACTGAAAACTTACTCAAAGCAAAATGTTTTCATTACGGAAATAAATTATAAACTTACCGATTTAAAACTTTTTTAATACAGGTACTTCTCATGAACAGGCGCAGAAAACCTCCACCTAAACTCCGTGTGAGGGTCAGGTCGTTGGGTGTTCCAGTTAGCTCCAGTTGAATTGAAGCTAGGTGGCTACATCCGTTAGCTCGGCTCCCACCTCCGCTTTAGCTTTGGGTAGCCAGGGTTAGCTTCAGGTTAGCTCGTAGCTAGTTCGTCACTCGATCCCAGCCTTACAGCCCCACCCTCAGCGCCTCCTCTCTTCCCTTTTATGGAATTGTCTGGGCTGGACGGAACCTGTGACACGGTCAAAATGGCGGTGGTGGCCACCTCCCATTATGGACAAAAAACGTGTTATTGGAGTCTATGGAATCCGTTTGTCCAGTATGTACAGTCTATGGTTAAAAGCCACAGAAGAGAGCTCAAAGGGAAAGACTTCAGCATAAATGACCAGTTCCCTAAGGAAATCCTGGATCGGCGCCGAGTCCTCTTTCCGCTGCGCAAAAAGTTTATCCAGGATGGAAAGAGAGCTTTCATCGTGGTGGATAAGCTTTATGTGGACAATAAGCTTTACAAGGAGCGAGGAGTGACTGACTGGCTGTATTAGCCCAACATCAGGTCAGCCATTTATTATTCTTATCAGGATTCACTGGGTCTGATCACGTCAGGATTAAACCGCTGCTAAATCCATTTTCTAGATGATAAGATCACCTGTTCATCACCACCTCACACCCCATCACCTTTTTTTTTAGTTCTTTCTTCTTTTTTAACCTGTAGCTGTATTTTCCTTTCCTCTTTACCTGCTTCTGTACCTTTACACCTGTATGGCACAACCACACAACTTTCCAACACTGCGTCAGACTCGACACACACACACACACACACACACACACACACACACACACACACACACACACACACACACACACACACACAAATATATATATATATTAAATCCACAGCACAATATCATAATTTATGTGTCAAATAATACAACCACAAACACTGTTGGATCTTTATTATTATTATTTTTATTATTATTATTATTATTATTTACTTTTCTGTTATTTATTAACATACTATTTTATACATTTAGTTACTTATTCCATCGTATTCACATGAAGGCGTCATATTTTAGCTACTCACACACACGTCCATGGGTGCACTAAAGTTTGTCTCATGGAACGTACATGGAGCTGGCTCCATAGAGAAAAGAATAAAGATTTTTGATCAGCTAAAAAGAGTGCAAGCAGACGTAACAATATTACAAGAGACTCATAGATCTGCCACATCCGCAGATTAACTTAAAACACCTGAGTTTCCCAGCATGTTCTCTGCCTGCTATAACTCTAGGCAAAGAGGTGTAGCTATTTTAATACACAAAAACATAAATTTCACAGTATTGGACACAGTCTCTGATCCAGAGGGTAGATTTATAATGTTAAAAATATCTTTACAGAACCAAAGCTTATTGTCAGCATATACTGTCCAAATATTGATGACCCTTCATTCTTTCATAATTTTTTCTCTGTACTCTCCGAACACTTGGACTGTCCACTTATACTTGGAGGCGATTTTAATTTTTGGATGAACTCTTTAACAGACAGGCTCAGTACAGCTGGGACTCAGCGCAATTGACAATCCACTAATATAGTTAATCAGTATATGAGTGATTATGGGCTTTGTGATGCATGGCGATCTCTTCATCCTAACCGTAGAGAGTATACTTTTTTCTCACACGTCCATCACTCTCATTCAAGTTTGGATTATTTTCTAGTCAGCAGCTCATTGTTGGCTGACATTTCAGACACTGAGATACACCCCATAGCTGTCAGCGACCATGCTCCGGTTTTATTAACTCTGGTAAACAAGAAGACAATCCCACCAAGCAAAAACTGGAGGTTCAATACATCACTGCTTAAAGACGAAGGTTTTATTGATTTTTTTTAAAAGGAGTGGGCTTTATATTTAGAACATAATGACCTGCCTGGAACATCAGCATCTATTCTCTGGGAGGCAGGAAAGGCAGTGATGAGAGGTAAAATAATCTCTTTCTCATCACATAAGAAAAAAACAGAAAACAAACGTATTCAGGAGTTAGAAGAAATCATTAAGTCTTTAGAGGCATCCACAGAAGAAGAGTTAATGAGCAAATTAAGTGAAGCTAAATTAGAACTTCATGGAATCATTGACAAAAAGACACAATTTTTAGCACAAAGACTACAAATAGAAAACCTTGAACATAGTAATAAATCAGGTAAATTTTTGGCTAGTCAGTTAAAAATTAATAAAGAGAAAACTACCATATCTGCTGTTACAGACTCAACCGGGAATATAGTTTATGACCCTGAAAGCATGAACAACACCTTCAGAGACTTTTACCAAACTTTGTAATCACCACAGATAAACCCATCAGATAATGAGATCAATGAGTTCCTTGATAGGGTAACACTTCTTAAATTATCAGACAGCCAAGTTACAGTCCTGGACTCACCACGAACATCAGCGGAGCTCCAGGAAGCCCTTAAATCCATGACGAATAGGAAAGCTCCAGGTCCAGACGGGTTTCCAGCAGATTTCTACAAAGAATTCTGGATCATTCTGGCTCCAACATTTTTCAGAATGTTGAGGGAAATCAAAGAGAGCAGCAGATTACAGCCAAACATGAATTCAGCCAATATTAGTCTCTTGTTAAAACCAGGCAAAGACCCTGCATTTCCTACCAGCTATTGCCCAATTTCCCTTATTAATGTTGATCTCAAAATAATTTGTAAAGCCCCATCAAAAAGATTAGAAAAGGTAACCCCTTTCATAATACATCCTGACCAAACTGGTTTCATCAAGGGTAGACAATCATCTACTAACTCACGTAGATTACGTAATTTGATAGATTTCTCTTACAGTAGAAACATATAAACTGGTGTATTATCTCTAGATGCAGAAAAAGCTTTTGATAGAGTTAACTGGAAGTTCTTATTTGCAACTTTACATACATTTGGTTTTGGGAACTTCTTCATAAACTGGCTACAAACATTATACAGTTCACCAACTGCACGTGTCAGGACGAACGACCAAATGTCAGCTAGCTTCTGTCTTCAGAGGGGGACCAGGCAGGGATGCCCACTCTCCCCCTCACTGTTTGCTATCTTTATTGAACCACTAGCAGCAGCAATTAGGCAAACAACAGGTATTACAGGGATACAGTGTAAGAAAATAGAACATAAGATCAGTCTTTATGCAGATGATGTTTTACTCTTTCTCCAGAATTCTCAATCATCTCTCTCTCATTCAATAGAACTGACAAACTCTTTTTCAAAAGTTTCAGATTACTCTATTAACTGGTTAAAATCCACAGTTCTACCAATTAATTTCTCTTTTGTCAATTTGCTTAATACACAATTGGAGTCAGGAAATATCACAAACCTTGGACTTAATGTCTCTCCCAAGTTAGCAGATCTAACTAAATTAAACTAAATCCCACTTTTAAAGAAAGTGGAAGATGATCTTGCAAGATGGAAATCCTTACCGATATCACTCATGGGGAGAGTTGCTACAATTAAAATGATGGTCTTACCCAGAATAAATTACTTATTTTCAATGATCCCAAACAAACCACCAGCTGACTGGTTTAGATCTCTGGACTCCTCAATTACCAAATTCCTTTGGCAGGATAAACCTTCACGAATTAGCTTAAAAACGCT